GGGGGGTTAAGCATGCTGCAAAACGAATAATTGTAAAATTTATGGCATTTTAAATTAATGAAATGAACAAATGTTTTTGCTTAGTCGTCAAAGCTCAGTAGCCTGAGATGAAATGAGCCAGAATTGCACGAATTTTGGGAAAAGAGGTGATATCGGCAACATTGTCTTTTGAACTGCGCGCCTGTAGTAAAGCGAGCAGACGTCACAGCAAGGAAGCCGAACAAATGGAGGTAGTAAGCTTGCTGAATTGGCAACGTAAGCAAGGTAGTTACTGTTGGGGTTTATTAGGATCTGGAAGTTGATAAGTGCTTTTCAGAATAGATGTGACAGATGGATATTAGAACGAGTTCATGAAAACTGACGTCTTTCCCGGTTGATTACAATTCGCATTGAAATTGGATTAAAAGGACGAAGAGACTCAGGCTTCAGGATGAATTCTTTGGAAATTCGTGCGTTTTAGCTCCAATTAATTTTGGTGAATGTGACATTGACATCTCTCTATCTCCCCAAATCGAAATTTTTTATTCATTTATTAAATGAAAAACAAACTGCTTAATTGCAGGAATGTGGTAATCTTGAACTGTCGCTTATTTTATGTTTGTTGCTCGGAGTGTAGACTGAGAGACTTTTCGTCCCATTTTTAACTGGCACAACACGCTTCCAGATGTTTGTTTTTTTCTTCTCTTTAGCAACGAAAATAGCGGTTTTGCACGTGTTTCTCAAGCTGCAGTAAATATAGTTGAAATTCCGCTCAAAGCCAAGAATAGAGCAGAATATCTACCTGCTATCCTACCGTATGTAATTACATTATCTATCTTTATATTTTTAATATTCTCTGCCTCGTGTCTTTATAAACTCGCTACTTTCAATGCGGCCAATTACCATTTTTAGGCTCTACCTGACTGACAGGTAAATGCATATCCTAGCAAATTCGCCGAAATGAACAAAAATCTCTTAATCCCTTTAATCTCATTAACGTCTATAATTTTCCTGGTGTCTAAAGAATGGGCGTTTTCTTAATTGCATAATTTTCCTTTGTTCTCAGTGCATTCGCAACAGGAGGTACATTAGCTGCACTGGGTGACCTTGCTATCCACATGACCACAGTTTCAATTGCGGAAGGGGAGCACAGTAGACGTATCCACGCTGCCTTGGTTGAATGTGGTCGCGAATCGGGCAGATGTTTCTTTGAATTAGCCTCGTTTGGACTTGAATTGGGGTCAATTGCGTCTCCCCTAGATCACCCCTTCGTAGTAGGTCTTGGTGGTGCACCTTCCGATCGTCTCTGGAGGGTCGACGCTCGCTTTTCTGAACGGTCAAAACAGCTTGAACCACTGATTGATTCGATTATTGCGACTGTTAAGACGTCTGATGGGAAAATCAACCCTGTTAGTGTGATGTCATAAAAGTGCAGTGCGCCAACTACTGAATATTTATAAGTAAAACGGTTTTCATATATATCTTTAGGGTTTTGTGGACTTAGTGGTAAGCTGTATACGTACTTCGGATAACGCCATCTTCAGTCCCGTGTGCAAATTTTTGACGTATCTTCTCTTCAAAGCCCTTGATTCGCATGGTTCTCCAGCTAGCTCCATTGCTAATCGGTCTACTCCCACAGTATCTCGTAGTCAAGGGCAGACTTTACTTAATCAACTCGCGTTTGCTCTGGTCTCTATAGAAGATGATGATAAGACGAGTCCCATACTGAAGCAACTTCTTTCACCGGGTCAATCTTTGCCAACACTACTATGGTCACTGTCAACTCTAATTGCAAGTAAGTTGGTAGACGTTTTCTAAGAAAACTTTGTTAGTACTGACGAATGCCAATATTCGCGCTACTTTTAAAAAATTGAATTTTGCTTGAAATAGGTACCTGGACATCTTCCCTATAGTGGCACCTATTTAATTATTTATTTTAGTACTGTTTTAGCTAATAACTTTAGGGCCTTACATTTGGTAAACGTACTTGGTTTTAGAAGTTGGATATTTTCTTGTTTATTTCTCAACTCGAGTCTAGTATTACCATATATTTATTGGTTTTAATGTGCTAAAACAGCAAATTCTTTTGTTAAAACTTGGCTGCTTTGTTTCTCATAGGATTCCCGTTAGTGGTGGGTCTTGTCAAGTCCGTAGTTATTTGCTGACTGTTGGTCGCTATAGCAGTTTAGTTCCAACTAACCAAGCTATTTGACGCTTCAACTTTTTTACTTTTCTTTCCTTCACAGTTGTGGCTGTTTTCGAGAATGCCCGTACCCTCCAACCCATGAACACTTTCCCCGCCCTCGCAGCTTTCGCCACTTCCGCTTTTACAGTTCTTCAGGGAAATGACTATCTCGGCAGTTCTAACTCGTCAGCTCGGTATTACGCTGTCACTCTTCTCGCCTTCATTACTCGCTGGGGCTCCCCAAAACCCGATGCCGTGCTAATGAGTACTCTGGAAAATCTTCTGGGTGGCGACCAGAGCGCTTCTGTAAGAGTGGCTGCGTGCTGTGAGTTCTCGTTAAATTTCTATTGAAGTTAGTATTGGGAGTAATTATTGTTGGTTCATAGCCGATAAATTTTTGACGCTGCACTATTCATAAGACAGCAGTGCAGGGAATTTGTTACTTTAGTTCGGCCATTGATTTTCGATTGCCGATCCTGTTTTGTTCACATCTGATAGTGAACTTTCCCCACTACTACATCACTAATCAACCAATGAGCCCATCACTACTCCCTTTCCATGTTGCATATAATTGGGATGTTTTTTTTACATGTGATGACCATTGAAGAGAGCCTTTCATCGATTTGAGGCCCACTCAACTTTCTCTGTGGTTTTAGTAACTGCAGTCTCAATTGGACGCGCCTAGATTATACAAGCGCCAATACTGGTGGTGACAGTTGTATTTTAGTACTGTTTCAGTGTCAGAAAATGCTAGTAAGATATATATATATATATATATATATATATATACATATACGAGTAAATCATTCAGCCCTTCTAAAATGCAAATTTCCAAGAGCTTAAGTACTGCTAGGCCAGGCTTCTCTTGTCCTCTCCTAGTACATTTATTCGTTTCCTCCTTTCCGTCTTTTCCAAGTGGTTTCCAGTTTAGTCTATTTTAAATCCTAGTCCGTAGATTATTCTCCATACACTTATCAGAAAGCTAAAGCGAAAGTAATCATGTATACGTATGTAGTCTATATCGAAAAGAGGAAGTTGTCTTCATTTCGAGCTTGGTAGAAAATTTGGCTGGCAATTAGAAATATGGGCCCTTGAGACGTGATGCTGATCGGCCTTTTGATGAGGCCTAACAATATCAAACCTTCAAGTAGTAGATGAGTATTGTGGACTACTTTTCTGGTAATGTGGAATCATTCATACACTTGCAATAAAATCGATTTCCTTGCGAACAGACTTTTTTTACAATATTCCTATGCACAAATCCTATCGATCTGATTCTTTTTTCTTTCTCACTCTAAGGTTTTCTTGAATGCCAAATCGTGGAGGCTTTAGAGACAGGTAACACAGTCGAAAACCGGGCACTCAGTTGGTGAGAATTGATCTAAAAAATGCCCTTTCACAGAAATAAGTAATCCACATCTATTTTATTCAGCCTGCTAGAATCTGGATGTACAGATGGCGCGATGGAAGTGCAAGAAACAGCTCTGGGCGCTTTGAGAAGAATATTCGAAATGAGCTCATCCTTAAAAGATGTAAGAAAATGTGGGGGATTGGTGTCACACGTGATTTTCACCTCATGTGAAAGAGTATATTTAGTGGTAGGATAATTTCTACTTAGATTATTCACCGTTTAGATGATGAAGTAGTAGGACACTAACCCCCCGTCATCATGCAAACTGATCTTATTGAGCAGTAGTGAAGGGTAGCTACTTCAATTTATTAAGGATATTTCAAATAGTGCACTGTTAATCATGCTTACACAGTGGTCCGCCCACAATAACCGTACAATATTTATGCTCTCAGGATGTTTCCAATGCCCATGCTATTAAGAGTAAGAATTTTTAACTCCCATAATCTGTGTATGCTTATTTTAACATATCGCCTTACTCTTTCAAATAACCAAAGCCGAAATTTTTGTAAATAATAGCCGGAGGTAGGAAGAGTGAGAAGCATTCGGAGTAAAAGGAATATTGAGCAGTGATTGCGAATACTAAGGGGATGGGGTGTCCCGCTGGCGTAGAGTATACTTGTCAAATCAGAGGCAAAGAAATGGGTGTCAATTGGTGCACATCCAGTGATATGAGTAAGGTCAACTGCGCTAATTATTTTTAGTCAATGAAGAGGAGATTTTTTCTCTTAAGAGCTAACTCAGAATACCCCCTTTCTATCCAAGATGAATTTTTGTCAGAGCACAGGTAAAATCACTGAATTTCAAATTTTAATCGCAGTGCTAATTCCCTTTTTCAGCAATTTTTTCAGACTAGCGTTCACCAGAGGCTGATGGCCCAGTACAACGCTGTCAACCAACAGGTTCACAGACCGGGTCTATTGAGACGTCTCCTAGCTACTAGAAATCAGTCACAGACTCCAACTTCAGCTAACCAATCCACAAATTCACCTGTTCAAGAATCGTTATTGACGCATCTATCAGCCCTCTGTTTGCCAGAAAAGAACCCTTAATACCTATCCATCCACTCATTCCACTCTTTAAAATGGCTGTGCGTTTTGAAAATCTTTCTATTCACCATATGCGCTAAACACACTTTTCCCTACGTTTGCACCATTATTTATTAACTTATATTTCCTTAAGTTAGTTTGTTTTTACTGAATTTATCTTAGTCTGTATTAAACGTGGTTATCTTTATGGCTGTGTTCACAATATAATAAAATGCTAGCAAAATTAGCTTGTAATTTTATATACGTCTATGCTATTTTGAAGACAATCATGGGACTATAAATTCCGGTATGGTTAAGTAGAACTCTTCCGATATGATAAGGACAGAAAATTGATCACTGGATGTTTCACAGCTAAGCATTTAATTCACAAAAACGGAAAAGTAAAAAGTATAAAGGACTGACAATCTTTAAACTGGAAATTAACTTCTAGCCTTGATCACCTTGTTACCGTGTTCAACCAACTCTGCTATTGTTACACGCCCGCGAAGTTCAATAAACTTTGCAATTGCTTCGTATTCGCTAGGTTCAATAAAGAGGAATTTGCCACGATCATCGAGAACACCACTCAATGATCCCTCAGAAAGCAGAGTTTTGATCTTCTCAACACATGCCTGAAAGAATAGAAGTAAATAGGACTAACAAAGAAAACAAATTGGCAAAGAGTTCAAAAGCAACTCACATCAGTTTTCATATCGAATTTTACACAAATGCGTTCCAAGGAAATAAGCTTGGCATTTTTAATGGTTTCAATGAACTCCAGGTTCAATTGGGCCTCTGCTTCTTCATCAAGTTGTTGAACACCTACACCTTCACCTGCTATGGAAAAAGTGGATTTTAACCGTTCATATTCAATCTGTTCACGAGCCTCCTGTTCAAGACGTCGTTTTTCCTCAGCTGCAGCCTAAAAATGTAAAATATTTGGAACAAAAATGCACGAAATTTAATGAGGAAACAGACCACATGGGAGCATAAATACCTCAAAAAAGAGTGAAGAAAATGAGCATAGTTTGATAAAAAAATGAAGCAAAAAGAATCAGTAACTAGCTTCAAAAATATATGGAACAGAACCTGAACACAAAGTATGAATAAATGAATTACAAAATGGTTTCAAACAAGGTATGAAGTCAATAATTAAACTCATTTGAAGATTCGCATAAACAAAACCCTCATCTACTCCGATATAAAATTAATAGCACTTATGTGACTGGAATAATACCAAAATCCAAATAAAGAATATATTAGCGTTCGAAGTATTTAAAAAAAGACAAAATTGTTCAATAGAGATCGAGTGTAACCTAATAGATAATTTAACTGATTTGCAAAAGAGCTCACAACAGAAATTAAAAGCTGAAGTTAGTTTTTAATTATCCGAACAATGCATTAGTATCATTAAATAAAAAGTTCATAATGTTAGAAGATACCTTAGCTGCTTCAGCAGCTTCTTCTTTCGCCACAGCCTCTTTCCTCTTTCTGATTTCCTCATCTTCTTTCTTTCGCATTGCCTCACGGTATTTTTCCTCTGCCTCCCGCTCTTCTTTTCTGCGTTGTTTCTCGGCTAATTTTTGGGCCTTCTTTGTGCCGATTTTCTTTTTGGGAGCATCTGAAGTGGGTGAGTTGCCGGTATCCGTTTCTGAAGATTCACTATCACTATTTTCGCTGAGAGATTCGAAATCAGACTCAGTCATCAGGCGTGGAGCCTGAGCAGCCGCCCTTTGCTGTTGATGTCTACGAGCCGCTGCATTTGCTGGACGACGTCGATTAGATGCTCCTTGCCTGCGATCGGCTCTCTGGGAATCTTAGAAAAAAACATAAACAAGCGTAAAATTTAGTCAAAGCTAACAAAATAAATGAAATAAACCTACTTCCCCAAGATTTTCCCTCAATAAACAGTAAATAAAACGCAACGGCACATAGTATACACGTCAAGCCTAGTAAAATAGGGTCCATAACTATGACAGATACATAGCATACGTATATAGGTATCTAAATTACTATTAAAGTTAATAGCTTAATTTTTACGGTAAGTATAAATAATTAAAAAGATAAAAATATAATATTCGTATCATTAGCGTTTTTTACGGATAATATACTCAACATTTCTTTTCTTTATTTAAATTTATAAATTTTTTAATATCAGCAATTTATTATTATTTTAATTTAGTTTATTCAAATTATATCGACTAAGTACTTTACCAATAAATTAACCGCTGAACGCCACAGTCTGTTTTTTGTGGCTGTTGGCGACTGTATATTTTACATTGATTTCGTGGTGGTCTGCTAGGTTTCTGATGCTTTTACTGTTTATTATCATTTAACAATATATCAATAAAATGGTTTTCATTCCCAAAAAAATGTTGCCATGTCTGCCGGCATCTTGGCTAATTTCTTATGGCACTCTCACTGCTGGTTTATCCAGTTTTGCTTTATGGCGATTTATGCACTTTTATTACAACACTGATAATGAAAGTAAGAAAGCAACTACCTTCGAACACATTATGGAGGACAATTTTATTGTCGTGGCAGCCTTTAATATGGTCTTCTATTTTCTTCTCTGCTTGGTCAAGGCTTTCCAATACTTTTTCTTGGGTTTCCTTGGTGGTTCAGAGGCAGAATTTGTGCGTGAGAAGTTGTCCCAGTTCGTATTATCTAGAGCTGTATTTATAATCGGCATAATAAATGCAACGAAATGGAGTAGCTTACTTGGATGGACTTTCTGGTTCGGTTGTCTCTGTTGCTTTTATGGATTGGCACGCTTAGCGCTTTCTCGTTGTGAAAATCTTCTTGCAAGGCACGACGCTTCTAAAAGGGAATGGTTTCGTTTTTGTCTTATGCTTTTTATTATGAGCTGTTGTGTTGGCTTTAATCTGGTTATTGGTTTAAAATACTGCTACTACTTGTCTGACGTGTTTCCAGATACAGATTTGTTCGGAGAATTGGCTTCTTTGAGTTCAGAGAAGGATAATGCTGCAGATATTTACCAAATTGTTCACGTTTTGGTCTATATGGTCTCTGATTCAATACTTGTAAATGGCCTCATTTGGAGAGTTTTGCTTATCATTGGAATTCAAGCCTTTGATGACATTTCCTGGTCAAACAATCTGTCTTTCTTCGATCGCAGTCGCTGGTTTTATTATGTCAATTTGATATTTGATGTTGCTAACTTCTCTCTGCATTTCCTGAATCATGTCCATATGCTCATTTGGACTCGAATGATTTCTCTCCTAACGCCGATAATTTGTGTGCAGATATTCATAAGTTACGGTTGTTTAGCTCGTCGTTTTCGTAAACACTTTGCATATATGGAAAACATCAAGGCTGTACAGAACGAATTCCCTCTTGAGCGCTATACTTCGAACATTGTCGGTTCTGAAAGCGAAATTGAGCAGTGTTCTATCTGTTGGGAGCCTATGCGTTCATGGCGCAGGTTGCCATGCCAACATTGTTTTCATGAGGATTGTCTTACAACATGGATTGAGCAGGATCCAAGTTGCCCCGCCTGCAGACGTCAAATCCTCCTCAACACATCTCATCGACAACGTAGATCTCGTCAGCTAACATTCGTAGGAACACTCATGCGAGATCTCTTCAACGTTTTTGACTCAGATCCTGTTGAACAAACGACTACTCCAACCGCGGATGCACAATTTCCTATTAGAAATGTCTTCTTGAGATTGAGGAATCGTGGTACGCCTGGTTATGATTTTAGCATACGTGTAACCCTCGGCCCAGGAAGGCGTCTACTTAGACGTGCTACTCAAGTAGGACCGAATGGAAATGATGGACAAGTGATTTGCCATTTTTTAATTTTCCGTTTAATGCGCTTCTTTGAATTCATTTTTGACTTCCTATTTTAGCGCAACGGAACGCCCTTAGATATCCAAGGAAATGTCGGAAATCAAGCAGATGGGCAGAGCCAAGAGGAACGTATTATCCAGTCGACTACCCAAACTCGTTTCTATCGTTTTGATGGATCTCGATACTCATCTTCGCTGCCAACGCTAGATATTGAATTCTCTGAGGTGTGCTTTATGTTTACTTTTCATATTCAAGGCAATAATAGTTCCATTTCGAAATTCTTGGTAGAGAGCATTCCAGCATTTCGGTAGTTTTATTGCACTTAAAAGATTAGCGTTAATGTCCTCCATGCTTTATCCACTGATTTCTTGATTCAGCTCGCTTATACAGAACACTTTTATGATTAAGAAAGGAATTTTGAAATGAATCAAGTGGTAGCTTCGGATTTATTACCTTGTTTTCCAATTTGATATTGTTCTAGATGTGTCGTTATTACTAGTTTTTGCTTGTTGTTTTGGTACTCTGGTTATATTCTATGAACCTCTTGTTTCTTATGAATTGTGGTAAATGGTCTTAGGAGGCGCTTAGCTCTTCATTTTGCTAAAAGCTAGAATATGCGATGACTTCTATTTTAGTGTTGGTCAAAATAAACTGTTTGAATTTTCATTTTTTTGAAATAATTATGAAATTTATGTTTTTTACCGTCAAATTATTTTTAAATTATTAAAGTGACCTCGCATGTCCGCTCTGTTATTCCTGCTACCATAGTATGCCACTTGCTAAACTGGTGTGACCTTGACTCCTTTTTGATATCTCTACGTCTAAAGCTTTCAGGAATTTGAATTCCATTTAAGTACTCCTTTCATTTATTAACTCTTTTTGGGGAAATTTTTTTCGGCACTCGTTGTGGATTGTCGGGTATCATAACATCTCTTTATGTGCGCCGATGGATATCGTACCATTGATTTGACCACATGCTATAGAATTCGTTGCTTTACGTTTTAGCTGAGAGTTCTTGGGGGTCTTTGCGTAGATTTGAAGATTTTTTGCATCGATCTGTCACAACCTTTCCGTACTGCATAGTATATTGAAACCGATAAAGCTTTTTAACGATTAGGCGTCTATTGATCTTTATAGGGTGTAACTTATTGATTGCCTCTTCTCTTCCTACTCATTTTATACTACCACATAAAGTTATTGTGGCTTTAATGGAAACCGTAAAGTAATTATTTCAAGTCTTTCCCTTCTTAGGCCTTCGCTCGTTTTTATGCAAATGGGAATTTTAATTTTTTGTTTCCCATTTACACAGACTGAGCAACATGTAGCAGCTCCTGGCGTCACGACAACATTGGCTATGGAGCAGCAACATCGCCAACGCCAGGTTCCAAATCAACGGCCTCGAATTCTTACTCATTTTAGACCATTAGCACATCACACAACTTCTCAATCTCAGCCTCTTCGTCCTCTTACAGCCAATTTACGCTCTCAGGGCGAACAAATTGCTGCAGCCTTTCCTGACTTACCACTTAACGTGATTTTCTATGACCTTGCCATAACACGAGTTCCGGAGGTCACGGTGGAAAATATTCTTGCTAGAAGGATTAGTCGAAACATCGACGAGGGAGCCATTAGATTTGAGGACGATACATCTAATCAAATCACCCAGGAAAATATGAGTCAGGTAATGGGTCTTGTTAAATATCCATTACTTAACTGGATAGTGTTGTTAATTACTCAGAGAAGAAGTCGTAAAAATCATCATTACGGAAATTACAGTAATCCATCAATTGAGAGCTAATAGATAAAAGCCCAAGAGCACCTCCATTTAGTTGTAACGTACTCAGGCATTCGGACGGGCAAAATCGGTGAGGATGCATTGGGGTTGCAGCTTTCGTATCGAAACCCGAAAACATCTGTAGCACTAGCGCATTTGCATTTTAATATAGGGGGGGGGGGGGGGGGGTGCGGGCAGACAGTAGATTATATAAATTCTATTAACTTTAATTTCTACATGCTAGTTAGCTAAGGTAAAACTCAGGAATACTTTAGAAAAAGCTAAACGTAAGCGAATGTCATTATATCTGCTGACGAAACATCGAATAAGTAGCTGTTACTGTATAATGGTATTGATCGATAGAAAATTTATAAAAACATTGCCAATCTTGTTACAAAAAGAACAACTTATTTCAAACAAATGAACAAAAGTCACAAAGCTGTATGCTCTTTCACCATCACATCGGTGAATGACGTACAGAACATAGCCTCTTCCCTCAGGAATTGTCATAGCTGAACGAATAGGAAAAAATGAGTTGATATCAATGAAGCTTGACTATTGAAATGAGAAGAAGGGTTAGCATCCGGTGATTCACCTTGGGCATCCATGGGATTGTTATGACTTGGTGCATTTGATTAGGGGGTGGTGCTAAGTTTAATTGAAGTTTAGTGGGGGGGGGGGGCGCTATTGAGTGACAAATCGCATTCAATTGAGAATTTACCTTCAGTGTAATTCAAGGAATTAAATTTTTAACATACCAGTTAGCAATTTTCTGATATCAGGAGAAAATGCACATCGGGAGCATCACCGCTTTATGAGAACTTTACCAAATCCCAACCCAATTTAAGGAAATCTTTCTCAATCCTCATCTTAGGTAGGGAGGTAGAATTGTGGAGATTCTCTGATGACAAACTCTAGCTCTCTTACCCTCCTAGTGGAATTTGACCAATGTGGAAATACACTAATTGCTTTTCATTTAGACTGCGAATGATGGGACAGCAGGCCCATCTCCCTCTGCTCAGTCCTCGATTCAAATCAATAATAGCGAGTCGGATGAGCAGTATCCTGAACCCCCTCCGTTAGAACATCAGGATATCGAATCCATGTCACCTTCAGATTTACTGGCATTCCGTAGAAGGCAACTTCTCTTTATTGCACGAAATCGTTTCAACGCAATCCAAGGGAGGCCTTCCGATAGAGCCTTGCATTAGATTTTGTCCGAACCTTTTTTCTCTCTGACTTTATCTTTCTATTATCCATGAATATGTGCTAGGTGCCAACTCTGTATTTAAAGAGCAGTAGAATTGAACACTAGCGTACCGTGATTACAACCCTACTTTGACACTTACATTTTATTTTACAGTATAGAATGCTCTTATACGTGTATATTAAATTTTGTTTACTTATTTGGTCGTAGTAGGAAATGTGCTTCTTTGAAAGCATATTTATGTGACATTTTTCTCCATCTCGACATGTGTACTTTTAATAGAAGTTCACTTGCTACATTCGTGATCAGGTAATTGGGATTTTGTTTTTTTACTGCTATTCAATCGTTTCTAGTAGGATATAAATTAGAATTTTTTGTCTTATGGGGATAATGAATACCCAGTTTGACGTCGTTTTCATTTTCGAATCCCAAATTGAAACTCCTTATTCTCTACAAACTACTGCAGTTGGAAGGCAACGAAGATGGGAATGCGAAAAACAGAAAAATACATTATTCGCTTACACCTGGATAAGTATGCTAACCACTGGAGCGATTAGTGTTACACTGACGAGTCAGTCATTGAGCACAATCGTTTCTACGCCACTATTTTTTCAATGGGTACTATTCGTAAAATACTATTTTCACAGTCCTTTTCCATCTTCCTGGAATCTTTTTAACTTGGAAACTGGACATTGGATTACGATCTCTGAATGGAGCGTAGCTATTATAGCATAAGGGTATCGATCTCCTGATTCCGCACATGGCAGACGCGTATTTTGATTCTTCTCCAGAACATTATAGAATATCCTGCAAATCAGCTCGTATCATATAAATAGCGTTGTAGAGACCAAGCATATTTTGTTTCAATGAAAGATGACTTTAATGGTGGTAAAAATGGGTTACATTTCTACGTTACTTGTGAGCATGTAGCAATTACAAGGAAATTGTAGAGAGTTCAATGTAGTTCGCATGTATGACTCCCTATGACAAGATATGTGAGGCATAAGCATTGGCTTAATTTCTTGAATTTTCAAATTGCCTAAAAAAGGTATAATAAACCAAAATTACAAAACTATTTCATTCAGGAATTTTGACAAAAAATAATACTACTTCCATATGCGTTTGCAATATTTTATAAATTTGAACAAAATATTTTCATACCTATCAATCAATAATATAATGATATTACATGGTCAATATTACATGTTGCTTGGATGGAGATCATCCGTCGCCTAGTCTATTGAAACGTGCAGAGTGGCGCCGATTTGACAAGGGGGTGTCTGGCAATCATCCCTGTAGCTCTTGTTGCAACTTCCATGCAAGCAGAACCCAAAGCGTGTCGTGGGATGTTCAGGACACCCATTGCAATGGCGAACTGTGATTATAACCATAATCGACATCAATTTTACTATATAGGATAAGATTTTATCTTGTTGATGAGCTGCAAAGTGGCCTAGAAATGAGACAGTCTGGCGAAAAGCCTGGATTACATTGAAGTATATCGTCTACATTCAAGGTTATAAAAATAACCTCAGCTTCATAAACTGTATGGAAGTAGAATTTCGGAAGTGCTATGAAGGGTTCACACTGGATTTGCTAACTGCTGTTGCTCTTTCATCAGTGGTAGTCGCGTCGGGAACAGTGGAAACACGTTGTGAGGAAATGCCACGGGGTTTAAGTTTCTGGGCATATGCATTACATGTACCTACTTTACATGGACACTGCCTTGTCCAAAAGTGTGTGAACTTGCTAGATAAAATACGCGTTGTATATGTCATGTTAATAATAAATCTATTTCCAATAAAATATAAGTAATTTTTTGGAATACCATATTTTTTGTATGCAGATGGAAAACTTAAAAATTATCAACATAAAATGTGATAATCTTCAGACACCATAATTCTTCTTAAATCATTAATTAAAATAAAAAAGAGATGCTTTATCGTTGCTTTTTTCTACAGGTAAATAGTTGAAAATTGTGGGGCTATGAATTGAGATGTAGTGTGGGGAGAAGGGGTGTGACTATGAAGTACAATTAATGAACAGCTGTAAGTTACCGAACGCACTATATCTGATTAATTGTTAGTTGACTGAACTTTAGACTTCGCTAGCCAATAAGGAGTCACTTACAAGCATTTGGACCAATGAAAAGTAAGACCTTGAGATGTAACCGACAAAAGTTCGTTTCGTGTTTGCGTAATCATTAACGTCACATGGTAAAGCTCGCCTAATCGACTGGCCATTTATGCCATTTCAAATGACTGCGTATAGAATGATCCTTGAAAAATCCCCCCAGTGATATTAAAATGAGATTCAGAAGAGGATCCAAGCTGAACTAATTACTAGAATATACCTCTGGAGAAGGAAAGCTCGTCCGTAAAGAAAAATTAACTGACACCTGGGATTCAGGTACAACCAATGAAGTTCGACCAAAATCGCATTACTTAAAAAGGAATGTGCCAGACGGAAACTAACTTAGAGGTTCCTCATTTCTCTCTATACTATTGCGAAACTGTTGTATCGTGCTTTACTGATCGCTTTTCGCACAACTTGGCCATTACAACTGAATTAATAATCTATTTTAAGCAAACATATAACCTTTTATCCAAAATATGCATAGTTATTGCATGGTATTAACTATTGAAACAATTTAAGTAGAAGTTAGCTAGTATTTATTTCGGTGAATAGAGTTCGATCATGGTGCTTGTTGCATTGAGTTATAACTTCCGTCAACAGTCAACTTAAAAGCAGACTCTTTTTAAGTTACATGAATTTGAGATAGATTAGGACTACCAATTTAATAGGAGAGGTTGTTTTGCAACTTTGTAACCAATTCAGGCTTTAAGGATGTAGCCCTAAACAAGAACTACCTTAGAAGCATTAGAAACCTCTACTTTCATATCGCTACGAAAAAACTTACCAGAGAAAATGAATGCAATGTATTTGAATGTAAACAATGTCCGAATCTATCAAATTCGATCATCCTTAAAGATAAGCGAGTTCCTTTAGAAGGTGGATTTACCCATCGGCGTGGTGAAAGTGCTTGACAAATGTTCTCGAATCTTCACTGTCATGTTTTTTAAAACCAGCGATGAAAGTATTAGAGAAAAGCAACTTCAACCAATGTGTGGAAAGCTATTTCAAAGACTATCGATTCCTGCTACTTCTGATCTGGCCACTTGGAACTCATTCAATTAATATGAAGCGTATATTGGTGAATTTTACACTGCATCGAGCATGAAATGACTGAATGGACATGGAATCAGAACTTTTTGCAATTATTGAATAATCTCTTCTCACAGGACTAGCATTTTTTTAACGATCACGGAATTATGCATTACTTTCATCTCTTTTCAATAAATTGAACGGCAGCTACAGCTGCTTTGTCTCCTGACGGATAGCCTTGAATTGTCTGCCTCCTTTTCATCTCGCTTTCCCTCGAAGTTCATCAAAATTCAGAAGGATTACGGGCCAGAATAATTCTACTCTCATGTCACAATATCGTTAAGATATCGATATTTCCTTCCTTGAATGACTATAGTTGAATTAATCCTCCAAGCAGATTTAAATTTTACTGTGTTAGATAGTCAATATGTGTTCTACAAATAATTAAATTTAACGATTTTTCTTAATTGAGCAAACATGACCTATATGAACACCAGTGAAATTTTACAATTTCACTCATTTCTGCTATATAATAAATCCAGTGCCTTCATCTTACTGGTCGATTTACAATTAAAGGTTTAATTAATTACCCATACAGACTAAATTTTAAAGATTTACGTTAAAGTGATTGATTAAAAATTAGCATTGATTATTTTTTCTCTTAATTATTTTTACTCATTTTTTAGATACTTATTAATAAAACTTTGATACGAATATTTATTTTAGCAGACAATATAACCAAAATGTTACGCGCATTTTGACAGAAAGTATCATATTGCAATGATGTTGCGTAATATATGAAGGTGAAATAACTGCTTAGTGTAGATATAGATGACCTTGAAATTTATTAATACATAAAGAATCAATAATACCCTCTTCAATATATATATGAGGTCTTGGGTGCTATTTCTAATACACGCGCTTCATTCCATTTATTTTTAATGTGCAAAAAATGTCAAATGTGAGTTGGCCTTAACATTTCTTTAGCACTAGTCTAAAATGCCCTAAAATACTTCATATACGGCCTAATAATGACCGCATCAATATTTCCAATACCACAGACTGCAAAATAATTGATAAGTAAGTAAGCAATTAAAATGAGTCGGTTACTGGTTCATTAATAAAATTAGGAAAACCACCCTTTGAGCTTAGATACGCTAAAGTATAATTTCAAAAAAACTAAGCTGTAATATTTAAATCTACACTGAAAAATTCAATATTGTATGTTAAAAAATGGACCCACAAACAGTTTGAGAATTAGTTGAAGATGGAAAGGTAAATAAAATCTACCATATTACATCATTATTCTGACAAAGCAGCAATTTAACATTTCTTGACTGAAATGGTTTAAGTCATGCCAGGAAGCTTTTCGTTTAGTCTAGGAACTAAAGTCTTACTCCTTCTGAACTCTGAAATCGTCAGATTGTCTGAATTTTACTTTCCTCCATGGCGTTTTAATTTATTTCTCTGCAATGAGATTCAGGGCGGCATTTTTCAAACGATGTCGTGAGCAACCTCTTTTCTTAAAGCTTTTATGACAGTTATCCACTAAGCATGAAATCCACTCAGTTTAAGGAATGCTAGATTTTTGGTGACAGTATGTTCACTAGTGCCTTATCATCATACACGCATTTTCTAAGAAACCATAACCCCAAGACATCATGGAGAACACTGCCAATTTTCACACACCTTTTTCTTTGTGGTTAGGGTTCTAGTAAGAGTGATATTAAGTTATTCCAGATATTATGCATCCAAAACACATAATCCTTCCCTCCAACCATTAGCTTTACGTCTGCATTGAACTGCCAAATCAGCCCTTTGCGTGCGCATCACGTTTTTAGGACGGATTTGTCAAGAGGTTGAGCACTCGCCTCTGAAATTTTACGACGAAATTTCTCAAAATAAATGGTTTTACTAGCACTTTAACATTCATTTGCTATCTGCTATACAGAATCAGTACTATTCACTGAGCTACATTCTAAACAACAGTAATTTCTCTTCACATCTACTTCTTACTAGAAGATAGAAGACTAATCATAAAGAAGACCGGTCTAGGCGAATTTTTCAAACAGTTCTGAGTGAGTTTTATTAGAAAGTAGTTTCTATCATAGAACTGACTTGGGCGTCATGCAAAGCTCAAGATTCAGATTTCCAAATCCTCGTAGGTTGTACAATCTTCCTCAGACATAACTTGAAATACTCTATTAAACAGCCCATGACCCTTTTAAGATCATAGTTGAACGCCATTATCCGTTGAGAATACTTCATGGGAGACCGTTGCGTGGTCTTTAGTGACATCTTAGAGTTTCATACAGCACTAGGCTGTATTATAGGTTTACTTTTTATGCACAATCATTTTAAAGTAGTTGAAGTTATGAAGATAGGCAATACCGCTCGATAGCTTCGTGAATTACTGTCCAAATTCCGTGCATAGTGACTCTACCTTCCTTTGAAGCAAGAGAGAAATCAATAGCATGACCTTTGGCTATTTTTGAATGGCACCATGTGTGTTGTGTTTTGTTAGACTTTTTGGGAAAAAAAGTAACAGTACAAAAGCACTTCATTGGAAAAAGCTCAGCACATGTGAACTCATTCGTGTCTGTAAAGCGACCTACTACACACTCTTAGTCTGCGCAAGCTTTCTGACTAAGCCGGCAGTTAAAGACCCCCCTCTCAAAATACCGCATCCTGCCGCTTAGTAAATAACGCATTGTCAAAAAGTTGAGCAAGCCATCTGTCGCTGCATATCAGCCAATAATACCCTGGGATATCCTATCATCTATAATTATAACTGTATTTTACCAGTTGGAAATACGTTTGAATTTCTAGAATTGAAGTCATAAATATTTGTTTAGATCAGTATATAGAATATTTCGTTAACCAGAATTATAAAATCATACTTCGGGATTACTACGGTATTCCCCAATTTCAGCAGTTTTGATTTCTGGTAGGAAGGCAAGACGCTTTATGGGGTTGATATTTATTGTGTAAGAATTTCAGTTCATTAAAACAAAACACCAGACGTTGGGCTCATCATAGAGGCTCCCAATTCCAAAACAAAATTTAAATGATTTACAATAAAATTGTTCGGAGCTGCCAATACCGCACGTCTAATTTTCCATTCCTTTAGATACTTAAACCACAGTGATTATCACTATATTCTTCTCACTTTCCTCTTATAAAGATATTGATCAAAAGTTGAATTAAAATACTTCGAAAATTCTGAATTAATTCTTAAAAAACCTTAAATACGCAAATTTAGTTTTTTAGTGGACCTATTAAAGTTTACCTAAATTAATAAACATGGATATTTCTCTACTATATGACCATATTACTTACAATAGAGGACGAAATTTAAACACTGAAATTCAGAGGGACTTTATTTTTTTAACAATAGCTGGACCTCCTCCAATCATCATAGAGCAAACAACCGCGCCAATTTCAACAATAGCCAATACAATAACGGCTATTCCAACAGGCCGCCTGTAATGGACTAGAGCCTTTTGGTAAGCCGAAACGCAGCCCTGCAAGGTAAAATAATTTCCATATGTTTGAGCACACAATGTGTTGTATTATTTGGTATAATAAATGAATTATTAACTAACCTCCGATGGGAAGCTAACACAAATTGACCCGACATCACAGCACACTTTGTAAGGAATTCTGTAATCATCTGGACCTTTTGCGCCACAACAATGAAGCTAGAAAAAAGTAAA